GGGAGAACACGCCACTGCTGTCAGATGAGGAGCTGATGGGGCTGTCGGTGCGGGAGCTCAACCACCACCTGCGGGGCCTCTCCAAGGAGGAGGTGGCGAGGCTGAAGCAGCGCCGGCGGACGCTGAAGAACCGGGGTTATGCCGCCAGCTGCCGGGTGAAGCGCGTGTGCCAGAAGGAAGAGCTGCAGAAGCAGAAGATGGAGCTGGAGTGGGAGGTGGACAAGCTGGCCCGGGAGAATGCTGCCATGCGCCTAGAGCTCGACACACTCCGCGGCAAGTACGAGGCCCTGCAGGGCTTTGCCCGCACTGTGGCTGCCCATGGTCCCCCTGCCAAGGTGGCCACTGCCAGCGTCATCACCATCGTCAAGTCCGGTGCCAACCAGGCCGCCTACTCCTAGTGCTGGCCTCTGTCCCCCGGCCAGACATGGTCTTCCTGGGGTGCCTTTCCCCACCAATTGCCTCCCCCTCCTTTCCCAACCTCCTCCCTGCCAGGACCTGTGCCTGAAATCCTCCCTTGACCTCCAGCTCCCCCACGCAGGGGGGGCTGCTGCAGTTTGGGTGCTAGGGTGGAGGACAGGACCCCGTTGGTGACCCCCAAACTCCTGTAGCCCTTTCCACTCTGGGGGTTACAGGCAGGAGAGGGTGAGCCTGTGCAGGCAGCAGCAGGGAAGCATCCCACAGCTCCAAGCTGGCAGGAAAACACCAGGTGCCTCATTTTTTTGGGGAGGTCATGGGAGAGCTGCGTGTGGGCCAGGCGCTCCCAGGAGCATGTGTCAGGATGGGAAAGGAGGAGGGAGCAAAGGCTAGAAGGGATAGGATGGAGAATGGATATCAGCATTGGCCCCAGAGCTTGGACCATGGCTGGAGCAGGGGTGGAGATGGCAGCATGGTTGGAGTCTCTTAAGGATAGAGGTGGTGAGGGAAGGTGACAGGTCAGAGTGGGAGAGAAAGTAGCTGCAGGTTGGTGCCTGGTAATGGTGAGCAGGATGGGAAAGTGCTTTGGCAGCCTGCGGTGCTGCAGAGGTGATGGTGATGAGGGAACCTAGGGGAGGGCTGGGGGACATGAGCCCAGGGAGAAGCAGTGGTGCTGGTTTATCTTTCTCCATCACGCACATCCTTCACGCCTCTTCCTGCCTATGGGTTGCTCAGCCCAGCCGGGTGTCTCCAAAATGCAGCAGCACTAGCAGGAAGGAAGTGGAGGCAGCTGGAACAGAGATAAACATTGTTTTGCTCAGCACAAGCCAGCTTGCACTGCCCCACCAAGCGCTCCCCAGCAGCCCACTGCCTACAAAGCCCATGCAAAGGTGCTCCTGGCCCCGGAGAGCCAGAGCTGCAGAGGTGGAGGTACAGGAGGTGGGAAGGAGGGGCAGAGAGTATCCCTGCTGCTGTGAGCTGCCTGGCAGGCAGGTAGGCTACTCCCTTTGGTTTTCCTCCAGCTTGGACACCCATGTGGGACAAACGGCTTCTTCTGCAGACTGAAATGCTGCGGAAGAGTTGGGTTTGCTAAATGCAGGCAGCACAGGAGAGGTAATGGGAGGCAGACCTTCACTGGCATCTGCTGCTGTAGATGATTCCCCCCCTTTCTGCCCTTCTGCTCACGCCAGCCGCCCTCGGCTGCAGCCTCCATCCCCTCCCTGGAGAGAGGTGCCACCACTTGTGGAGGGGCACTATGGTTCGCATCCCCCCACCCCAACTCCTCTTGGGTTTATTTATTGCACGAACATAAGTTATTTTCACGTCCTCTTTGCCATTCCACCTCTCGGCACAGCCAGGATGTTGGTACAGAGCCGTACTTTATATTTTATATATACAAATCACATTTTATCTTATACTTATATAGAGAAAAAATTATACTTATTTATTTTCTGACTTACAGTACGTGTCCTACCTGACTCCTCTGTATTTTGTAGACTTTACAAATAAAGCAAGTTCTTTGTTGTTGATTTTTTTTTTTTCCACAGCAGGAGTGTGTCTGGTCATTCTTAAACTTGAGGACAGAGCTGTGCCTCAGTGAGACTGGGTTTCTGGCTCCCTCTAGCTCTGCTGCAGGACGTGCTCAAGAATGTGCCTCGAAAAAGATGGGGCTGGGGGCAGCTTGTGACTTTTTAGAGCAAACACAGATGATTCTTAGATTCACAGAATGGTTTAGGTCAGAAGGGACCTTAAAGCTCACCCAGTTCCAACCCCCTGCCATGGGCAGGGACACCTTCCACTAGACCAGGTTGCTCCAACCCTGACCAACCTGGCCTTGAACACTGCCAGGGATATGGGGCAGCCACAGCTTCTCTGGGCACTCTATGCTAGGGCCTCACCACCCTTACAGGGAAGAACTTTTTCCTAGTATCTAATCTAAATCTCCCCTCTGTCCTGTCACTACCTCCCCTTGTAAAAAGCTCCTCTCCAGGTTTCTCATAGGCCCCATTTAGTTACTGGAAGGCTGCTGTAAGGTCTCTTGAGCCTTGTCCAGATTCAGTCTCTGGAAGAAAAAACCTCAGGCAGCCAGCTGAATGCTGACCATTATTCCCCAAAGCTTTTGCTTTCTGGAGCAGTTTGGCTGCACTGAATCATAGTTCCTAGGAAAGATAATGCTTTTCACCAGAAAAATTCCCTCCAGGCTGCTCTTGGACCTGCTGCGGGAGGAGAGGCAGGTGACATCAGGCCAGCTCTACCCACAACCTCCCCTGCACGGTGACCTCACCAGCAAGGAGGAAAGCAGGGAACGTGTTCATGGGTGGCAGGAGAAGGGGAAGGAAGTGTGGTAGGTGCATTACCCAGAGGTGAAGCTTGACGCCCTCCCATAGGGAAAACACACCTTTCCTTGGAACTGAGGTGGAAGTGATGAGCATCTTTCCTGATGGTGGGTCCCAGCCTGCCAGCATCTTGGAGCGTTCACATGGTGGTTCCAGGTTTTATATTCACATTCCTTCTGCCACTGAAAACTGCCCCAGCCCATCACTGCTCACAGAAAATAGAACGCAGCGCTGCTGCGTGCTGGGGCCTATGTCAGAGACAGCAGCTCGCTTTCTCCTGCAGGTGTTTCACAGTGAGCACCCAAGATCAGAACCCATCTGTATTCTAGGGTTTTGACAAATGTGTTTTGCTCCTGCCTTGGGCCATCAGTGACATCTCAGCCCCAGGCTGGTGTAAGTGCTGCGTCTCATGGCATGAAGCTTTCCTTGCAAAAAGAGGACTACAGGAGGACAAGACCCATGGATCCTCAGCCCCTGCAAGAAGTGAATGCTCAAACTCAGAGAAGTCACCCAGACAGCACCACGCAGAGGCAGCTTAAGTACAATCTATATTATCTCTATATTTTTATTTGTCATCGTATTTACTCATTTCTGCAGAGTATAATGTCACAAAGACCAAAATAGAGAGAGCGGCTTGTCGCTGAGCTCACATCAGTTAAACACGATAGGTACAAAACTAGGTGACTCTGTCTTATTTATCATACTTTTTTTTTTTCAGTCATTTATATACAAAGAACTACTCTATATGGAAAAATAATAAACAAATCCCATGGGTATGTTACATGGTAAACAAAAAAGGAAGGAAGAAAGGAGTGGGGAAGCAGGTGAGGGGAAAAGCAGCTCCAAGGGCCTATTCCTGGAACCAACACATTTGTTGGGGCCCTGGGCTACTGCAAGCAGACTAGCAAGACCACAGATGCCTTGGCCACCTTGGTCTCAAGCTCTGGGTCTTCTACTTGTTCCTCCAAGTCAGAGCGGCATCGGAGCCAGTCATTGCTCTGGCATGTGCCTGTGGTGAGGGAGAGCAGGAAGCTCAGAGATGATTTTGTGTGATGTCAAATATATATATATATTT